AGCTGAGACAAGCCACCCCAACAGTTGGCCGCACACCAGTGTCAGCCTTGACAGGATAAATCTCCCCAGACTTACCCAATGGTTGTGAACATTCTAAATTAACACAAGTCTCATTAAGTGTCCAGTTTAAGGGTATTACACAGAAACACACCACAGGAACATGAATCAAACGAGTACTTTATTCATTTACAATAAATTCATAATGTACATAATTCTGATTGAAACTAAGGGCATACAACTGTCTAACACCAGGGTCGAGCACTATGGCTGCCTGGTGGATGTACTCTCCCGGAAAGGGTTTCTTTAAAGAAGCAAACATGATCATGGAGAAGATGCCTATTGAACCTGATAGCAATGTATGGGTGGCTGAGGCTCTATTAGGTGGTTGCCTGACTCATCGGAATTATGAATTAGGTCTAATTATGAGCAAGAATTCTATGAAGAGAGTCGTCTCCTTGCACTTTACCAAAAGAAGGGCTGAAAGGTGGGTGACATCGGTGGAACAGACGAGATACGAAAAAGGTACAATGAGGTTTTGGAGGATTGTGAGGTGGTGGAGAATGTACGTAGTGAGATACGTACAACACGGAGAATTCAGGAAGGTTCTAGAAGTTTTTCATTAATTGAGTTTTATTTTTGTAAATTTGAATAGTAGAGGATAAATTTGATATTTTATTTTTTCATTAGTGCTTAATGATAATGTCAATTGTCAGAAACAATTGGGGTATCTTAAGACAGTATATAAATAGTAAAGCTATAGAGTTCATCAATTAACCCATTTTTTTTTGTTTTCATGAAGTTTGTATTGTGCCAACTGGGTGGTGGCTCAGTTTGTACATTGCCAGCGGATACGTGGAACTGAGTCCTATTATTGCCACCTTCCTTCAAGAGTTATTAATGTGTTGAGTTTAAATACCAAAAAAAAAAGATGTTCGTTATTGTTTTTTTTTTTAGAAATCAGCCTCAATAACAACCGAGTATTTTAGGCATTTTTATGCCTTTTGTTAGAGGTCTGTAATAAAGGGGTCTACTTGCCATTGTGTCAAAAAGTTTAGAAGAGATGATTACAATTACTAAACTTTAGGGGAGGTTTTAGCAATGATAAAAAATTTCATAAAAAGTTTCAGCAATTTACTATATGATAAATGAGATGTCATATAGAATTAGTTATGGACAAAATTTAATAAAGGTGGTTGAATTTGAATTTCAAATTTGAAAATCAATACTATAATGAACATTACATTTGTTTCCTTGGTTCAACAGAAGTTTGTAATTTCAGAAAACTTCAATGATGTTTGTTCATTTCAGATTTTCTGTTATCAATCTTAGGATTTTCTGCAATCGGCATCAATACAAACTCGTTCCCCCCTTTCTAGTAATGCAATACTTTTTATCACAATCTTAATGTTAGTTACCTCATTGCAATAGAATGGTTTGTCCAATCAATTCCTTCTTTCAGGATTTATCACCAAGATTAGTCCAATGGGCTTATCCAGGGTTCTACATCAGCCAGCAAATGTATATGCCCTACAACCAAGGTTTCAAAAATTGGATCAGACACACAATTATTCTGGGACTGGTTCTCGGGTTGAATGGTCCAGTCATTCGGTTTAAGCGGATGGCCTATTTTAATTTAAAAAATTAAATAACATAAATAACAGTCAAAACCATTGTCTGAATTGATGAATGGACAGTTTAACCATCTAAATCAATAAATCACTGGCCAAATCAATGTTTTTTTGCCCAGAAACAATTATAAGGTGAAAGAAACCGTTGTTTGAATTGATGGATCGACAGTTTAACCATCTGAATCAATAAATCACTGACCAAATCAATGTTTTTTTTTTTTTTTTTTTTGCCAAAAAACAATTATAAGGTAAACAAGAATGCATATATGAAGACTGGACCAGTCCAATTAGTCCAATCATCTGGACCAGTCCGATTAGTCCAATCATCTGGACCAGTCCGATTTTCAGTAAACAAGAATGCAAAAATCGTATATCCATATTTTTTTAACAATCCATATAGCTATTTTTTAGTTTGGCATATTTAAAAATGCATATATGAAGACAAATGTTAATGTTTAAACCCATTAAACAGCCCTGACTCAAAGTATTTAGTGTTTCGGTGACTGAAAACTGATTCACATCATTTTGAACCTTGCATGCATGGTTAACGTGGGGCATTATCCTTGGTTAAACAACGCCTAACAGAACCATCAAGTGCAGCTAATGAGGATTCACTCCATGTATAAATATTATCAACAGAATTTACTAACCAACCAGCTCCATGATTCAGGAAAGTTCCATCCTCATTCCTCAAGAACCATTTTTTGGGAGAATTTTCAAAGTATCCACACACACATGATATCCAAACAAAAAGTGTTTCAAAGGGACGATACGAGTATGTACAGTATAAATACATACAAAATAATATAAAATGTGAGGTTTTGCACTCTACATATTTGTATTTATATTTCTTTCAAACTGAGCCTTTAGATAAAAAAATATTTCAAACTGAGCCCAAGCATTTCAATGAATTCAAATATCAATATAATATATATTTATATATATTAACCTTGCTTGGGGTGGGACGAATACACAAACACATTTTTAACTTTAACCCACAAATTTGAAGCTAAAAAATAAATAAAAAAAAGGAAAAAATTTTATTAATACCCTATATCTTGGGCCTAGTGCCATTTTAACCCTCAAACTTTAAAATCCGACAACTTAGTATCTGAACTTTCAAAATGTGTTAATTCAATATTTATCGTTAACCAATCATAAAATGGCACTTTAAAAAATATAAATGTTCTTTGAGTATCATCTAATTTTCTTTATCAATCATCCAAATATTAGAAAAAATGAATAATTTTAAATTCTTATTTCTTTTATTCAAAAAAGCTAAAGATCACGTCTAGGTCCACTGAGTGGGCATGGAAGCCGGATGTTGACCAGACCATAGCATACCAGTTTCAACAAGTTCGAATATGGTGACTACGACACATTACTGATCATACATTCTGTCGCACATCAAAAACATTGGTTGTTCTTTAAAACACCGATATTCTCGATGTATAGCCGGATGCGCGTGGCCACCAATGTGTCGTGGTCAGCAGATCCAATAAGGCCTCATCTGACCCGACCCGGGACTCTTTAACCAACCGACTGATAATCAAAGCATGCGACTCCTTTTTCTGCCAGCACTAATGCTACAAGCCTGCGATGCTTCCTCTCCTCCCCAAATGAAAGCAACAACACCCTTTAGATTTTCCCATCTAGGGAATGCTATCAATCACCGTACGTTTCAATCAGCTTCCGATATTTATGCAAACTATATTGAGATCTACGCACGCGATCGGGCTCTGCACTCGGGCAGGAAACTCCACGCTCACCTCATCATCAATGGTCTCGCCCGTTCAACTTACCTATCCTCCAAGCTCATCGTGTTCTACACCCAGTGTGGACGAATCTCCGACGCCCGGCAACTGTTCGACCAAATTCCCCAGGCAAATCTCCGTCGCTGGACCGTACTCATAGGGGCCTACTCCCGCCGTGGCTTTTATCAAGAGACGATCAATCTCTTAAGTGAAATGCTGAGGGACGGCCTGAAACCTGACAAATTCAGTCTACCCAGCATTCTCAAGGCTTGCGGAAAACTCTCCGATCGGCAAACTGGAGTGAAGATACATGCTGTAATTGTGCGATCGTTTATTGAGTTTGATGCCTTTATAGATAGCGCATTGATCGATATGTATTCAGAATGTGGCCAAGTTGGTAAGGCACGCCTAGTGTTTGACAGGATGCTCGAAAAAGACTTGGTGTGTTTGAATTCCATGGTTTCGGGCTATGCCCAACAAGGATCGGCAGCGGAAGCATGGACTTTGGTAGAAAACATGCAATTAATGGGGGTGAAACCCAATGTAGTAACTTGGAATGCATTAATTGCAGGCTTCTCGTGGGTGGGCGATGATGTCATGGTCTCAGAACTGTTTCGAATGATGCAGGTCAATGGGGTTGAGCCTGATGTGGTTTCCTGGACTTCAGTTGTATCTGGGCTAGTGCGTAATTTCCGTAATGATGAGGCTTTTGATGCATTTAAGCGGATGTTGGGCAAGGGATTCCTCCCAAGCTCGGCTACGATTAGTAGTCTTTTGCCTGCTTGTGCAACGGTGGCAGATCTGAGACACGGGAAACAGATCCATGGCTATGCATTGGTGATAGGAGTTGAGGAAGATATCTTCGTAAGTAGTTCTCTTGTTGACATGTATGCAAAAGGTGGTTGTATATTGGAAGCTGAAAAGCTGTTTAACAAAATGCCTGAAAAAAGTACAGTTACTTGGAATTCTATGATTTTTGGATATGCAAATCATGGATACTGCTATGAAGCAATTGATCTTTTCAGTCTCATGGTAGAGGATCAAGCCAAGCTAGATCACCTGACCTTCACTGCAGTTCTCACAGCTTGTAGTCATGCTGGAATCATTCAAGTTGGACGAAACCTGTTCCGCTTGATGCAAGAAGAATATGCAATTGAACCAAGGTTGGAGCATTATGCATGCATGGTGGATCTCCTTGGTCGAGCAGGGTATATAACTGAGGCTTATGATTTGATTAAAGCAATGCCAATTAAACCCGATTCATTTGTTTGGGGGGCACTATTAGGGGCATGTAGGACTTCTGGGAATATTGAACTTGCTGAAGTAGCAGCTAAACATCTATTTGAGCTTGAGCCAGAGAGCGCTGGGAGCTCTTTGCTGTTGTCAAATTTATATGCTGATGCTGGTAATTGGGGTGGTGCTGCAAAGATGAAGAAGATGATGAAGAAAAGAAAGCTGAGAAGAAGTCATGGGTGCAGTTGGATAGAGGTACTCCACTAAGTTCAGAACTGATGGTAAGAATCGTAATAGAAAGGGATGACCTCATTGGTGCTTGAAAGTTCTTGCATATATATGGGGAAAGAAAGGATAACAAGAGAAAAAATGATAAGAGGACAGGGATGGGTATAGGTGGAATCTTAAAAACGTGATTCCAATCCTTAGGTTGTAGCCTCACAAAGGAGAGGGGAAATGGTGAAGGGAGAAGAATCTGATTTCCAAGAGTGAGCACATTGTAGATAAGAAGTTCCTCATTGTTAAATATCCAAATGGGAGCGCATAGTCTTCTGTAGGTGCAGATAGATTCCTTTTACTTGAGAGAGAAATCCTAACTTGCACTCCAAGAAAATTAAAGACCACAAATTCTATGAAAAAGGAGCATATATAACATATTGGAATTCTTATGCAGCACATTAGCTTCTAAGACTTATCCTCTCTCCCCAAGGATTGGTGCTGCTGGAGCGCTCTTGCTCGAAGCCCAATCAGACGAAAGGAAACTGATAGGTCTTTGGTTTGAAAATAATATTTTCATCAATAAAGTTTTATAAGGATTCATTTAACCCTTTATTTGAGGTGAATTGAAGAAACAAAGGGCATTGTCCTGGTAGAAATCAAGGATAATGAACCATGTACATCCTTTAGAAGAAAAAGATGGCACTAGCAAGTGTTCTCAACTATTTTCTCTTGGGATCAATAGAGGTGCTTCTCTCCTAAGTTTCAGCCATTGTATTTGGATGCCATATAACTTGTTTATCAACTCTCATTTGCCCAAATGTACTTCTGGAATTGGTTATGGGCATGGTTTTGTTTACATGCAATTAGTGGGTAGTCCAAAAATATAGTTGGTGCTTGTTCCTTGGAAAGTTGAGAGAAATGAATTGCACCTTAGGCTTAGTTTGGAAGGAGTAAGTACAAATGCAGACAAAATAATACAAAATATAGGGTTTGCACTCTACATATTTGCATTTGTATTCCTTCCAAACTGAGCCTAACAGCAAAGTGATTTTGAAGTTTGGGATTCCATAGGAAGAGTTCAAGGAGGATGCCTTTCACATAAATCCCATACTGTAAGATCTCAGTAATTCTTTGGCTCGGGTCGCAAAGCAATGTAATGTAAAGCTTTGTTAAGTTGGTGCTTGTTAGGAAGGGGTTTATGAAAGAAAAAATTAAATATTAATAGCATTTCAGGGACTGTAAACAATTGAGAAATATGCATTGCTTCAAATTTGCTAAGCTCGATGCATTCTGTTTAGAACTGTAGAAGATAGAATAATAAAAAAAAAAGGACATGGTTTAAGAAATTCAATTCTGCTTGCCTGACGAACGCAGAGTGCCCTAGTGTCTTTCCCAGATTTATCCAATTACATTGTACATGGAGACAACCAGCTCTTCCAAGGTCACTTAGAACCCTAAAAATAGAAATAAAACTATAGACCTATACCCACAGTAACCATAGCTTATGTTCCTGTGACTAACTAGCCTATAGACATTGTGGTCCATAGCTATAGCCCATCAATAGCTACGGTCAGTAAAAGTTTTTTTTTGTTCTTTTTGATGTCTATAACTATTAACTAGAAGTTGAATTCACAAAAATATATGCTTGTACAATTATACCATAGACCAAACCAATGGAATGATGAACCATATACCAATAGCGTTACTAAAACAAAAAATTACATCTCATGTACAATTTGAATACATCAATTGCTGAAAATGTATTACAAATGTCAATGTGCTTTAATACATACTAAAATCAACATGTAAAACAAATATCCACTTTATCTCCATCAACCTTTTTTTTGGTAATCATCTCCATCCATCCATTAGGAGTTGCTCATTATGTATGTTCAACCTATAAAGAAAATAACAGAGTTAGGTAAAAATTCACATTTGTGTATATAAAGTTTAAGTCTGAAGCAATGAATAATGAAAAAACACATCCTACAGTATTCACATGTAGTGCTGCAAACCGTAGTAATAGAACCCATACAGAATTTTATTAAAGCAAGATGGTCATACGCTAATCAACTCTAGTCCTGTCCAATCCACTAGAAAAAGAGAATCAAAAGGGGAAATTTGGACAAACCAGGAACACTGATTTAAATGATTCTCAAGTAACCAAAAGATTGGGTAAGTGGATTGTTAAGGACTAGTGGAGGTGTCAGACAATCTGGTGCGTCGCCGATCAAGGATTATCCTAGGAAAAATGGTGGTGGAAATGAAAATATACAGATTGATACAGCATCTAGACTCATTTCTTTGGGTTGTTTGGGTTGCCACGAAGGACTTAATGACTCTGTTCTCTTCATGGACATTGAAAAGTCCAAGTAGAAATAGCAGGATTCTATAGTAGACGATGCAAGCAGCAATGTATTAGACCCTTTGGCTAGTACTCAGAACTAATAAAAAGAGAAATATGTGAAAAATAAGATGCTTCTAGTTTCCAGTAACAAGATTAATAATTGATTATGTGCAATTTAGACTAAGATAAATCCTAGGTCGCTTTTATTTTTAACTCTTTTCAAAACTAGGAAAGTAGACTGGTTAATCTCTCTTCCTAAATCTATATTATTCTTTGAAAAAGGAATTGAATTAGAGGACTTGAACATAGCTTTCAAGACACTGAGGCAAGGCTAGGCGATCGGGGGGCGCCTTGTTGCCCAGATGTGCACCTAGATGTTGCTTAGGTGATGGGATTTTTTTTAATAAAAACCACGAATCCTAATATAATTCCCTAGATTCCATAGCAAGCAGCAACCATATTTCACTATTAATTGTCTATAGTCTTCATAAAAATATATTCATGAAAAAAAATGGAAGAAAGAAAAGAATTTTCAGATAATAGAGGGGCTGAGCCTTTAATTTTGTCCTAAGAAGAAAAAACAAGAGAGAAAGGATGGAAGAAGAAGAAAATCAATAATCAATGTGTTGTTTGGAGGGTTCAAGACAATATACATTTGGTGTAGCAAAAGCAGGCATTCCTCCACTGGGTTATTTAGTTTTTCACTTGATTGATGTAAGCATATTTTTGTTTTATTTGATGTCACAAGAAATTGTTGTGACTATGTAAACTCATGAAAACTAAATCACCCAGGCATGGTGATTATATAAATTCATCGCTCCACATGTTAGGCTACCTTTATATTTTCTTCATATACATATATAGAAAGGTAGTGGATCTTGTAGTTATAGGTAGTCTTCATTTTATCATATGATAGCAGGTAGTCTTGCTAATTTCTTGTCCTTTCGCTTTTGATATTTGGGAATGGTTTCTCTCTTTATTTGGTTGCAGATGTATCTCTCCACCAGATATACAAAGCTTGTTTGTTACTTATTTCCTTAGATGGCCTAAGAAAAGGGGTAGTATTATGTAGAGGTGTGTGAGGTATGCCATTTGCCGGACTATATGGGAAGAAAGGAACTCTAGGACCTTTTCGGATAAGGAAAGGCACAAAGAATGTATCATTGAGGTAATAATGGTTAGGGTGGTACAATGGCTGAAATCTTTGGATTTGTTTGCTGATGTCTCTACGAATATGCTGCTGAATAGCTGGCTAGAAGTGGAAAATTCTGCCCCTTTTTCATCAGTAGTTTGTCCTTTATGGTCCCCACCAGTGACCAGCCCCGGGGTTTATAAAACTAAATTTTGATGGCAGCGGTGAAGGCAATCTAGGGCCATTTGGTGCTGGTGGTGTGTTCAGAGATGAGAATGAAAAGGTACTTGCTTTGTTTTCAGGCCCCATTGGGAGAGGTGACTTTCTTAGAGCTGAAGGTTAAGAAGGTTAAAGGAGCTGAATATCCATAGACTAATTATTAAAGGAGACTCAAAGCTGGTTACAGAAGGACAGTGACTGGAAATATACAAATGAGAGAAGGGAGGCTAAATGGCTAACTAGGGGGCTGGAGGTTTAATTTCAATGGGTACAGAAGGCTTCAAATGCTTTTGCAGATACATTGGCAAAACAAGGGGTAGGAAGACAATAGATGTTTTGGGTTTTGTTGTAATATTTTTTATCTTTTCTTTTCGGGGGAGTTAAGCCTCTTTATCTCTTCCGAAATGTTGTAATTATCTTTGTCTAATAAAATGATTTCTGTTATTGATAAAAAAAAAAAAAAAAAGACAGCAAGTAGTTCATGTTGGGGTAGTAACAACAAGCATGCACTGACTGGGTAATTTTGTCTTTCATTTAATTGATAGAATGTCTATGTTGTATTGGAGGGTTGCAAAAAAGTGTATTGGACCATGTGGACTAATCGAAACCAAATCACCTACGTATGCACTAACAAAGTGATTTTGTTTTAAATTTAATTATTAGCATCTTCATAACTTACCCAGTCAGTGAATGCTTGTTCATAACTTATCGGAGGGTAACAAGAAAGTGTTGTTATCATGTGAATTCATCAAAATCAAATCACCCAGGTATGCACTAATTGGGTGATTTTGGTTTTCTTTTGATTGATAGCATGTTATATTTATTGGAATTTAAGTTCACAAGAAAGTACTGTGACCATGTGAACACATCACATGTTAGGCTACTTTGTCATTTTTTGATTGTCATAGTAAGGTAGTAGACCTTAAAGGTAGTCTCTACTCTCTACCTTTTATGTGTCAATAGGATATTTTTGTATCATTTGTGATAGGAGAAAACCATGCACTCAGTGGGTGATTTGAATGTTCGCATGTCTATGTTTTATTGTAGGGTTGCAAGAAATTGTGACCATGAAACCAAATCACCTAGGCATGCACTCATTCAATGATTTGGTTTTTCTTTTCTTTTTATCAGTAAATCAGAAAGAATTTTATTAAAATTATAAGAAATCAGAACAATAAGAAGTTATGAAAGAAATAAGTAGACTAGACATCTAAATCCCCCCCCCACCACAATATTACAACTAAGCCCAAAATAATCCGCCAAGCTGTGGGCAGACCTTCTAACCCAATTAACTTGAATGAACATGTCCTTAGAAAGCCATTGAACCATCTGAGATCATTCATTTGATTGGAGAGTCACATGAAAGTGCTATGGTCGTATAAACTCATCATTCAACATGTTAGACTACCTTGCAAGGTCGTATAAACACATGCTTCTCTGTCTGAGAGAGATAGATAGAGAGAAAGAGATGCAATAAGAAACATAAAAATTCGATCACATGATGCCAAACAAAAATAGATAATATGTTACGCTGATAGTCTGATATTCTACGTAGCACAGACTATTTTAACACTGTCAATGATATGGTGTACTGTGCACATATGACATGAAACCAAATGGACAGATGCCATTGTTGCCTAGTTGAACTTGGGGCCTTATGATCATGCAATTGCTTAAATAAAGCAACTCATGACAATAAATAGACATATATGACAACACAAGCTAAAAATAGTTCAATAGCTCCAAATGTTCAATAAAATACACCAAACCAAGCCTTAATTTAAGTTTAAATCTTGTAATAAATGCAACTTATAGTTGAATTTCCTTTTAGATATCTTGCCATTGCTGAGTACAGAAAGTTTTTGCCTGTTTCAGCATTAAACCTAGCACAATACTGTAATATGGAAATGTTGGAGAGATAAGCATTTAGGCAAATGAATAGCAGATGAAGTGAATAAAGTACCTAGAATACAACAAGGTGGTACTTCGAGCTATTCCGATCGCTACAATCAGTAACAATTGCATGGGCCTGTGTGTTACCTAAGAAGAAAAATACCGTTCATGGTAAGAGAAATCATGATTTTTTGAGAAAAAAATAACCAAATTTCATTGAAAATAAA